TGCAGCAGCTGGAGATGCAGCAGCTGGGGCGGCAGCAGGTAGGCTGGCAGCACACGGACTGGCAGCACTGGGGCCTGCAGGAGCTAGACACACAGCAGCTGGGGCGGCAGCACTGGGTCCTGCAGCAGGTGGTCTGGCAGCAGCTGGGGCGGCAGCAGCTAGAGATGCAGCAGGAAGGGCGGCAACAGGTGGGTTGGCAGCACTGGGGCCTGCAGCAGCTGGAGATGCAGCAGCTGGGGCGGCAGCAGGTGGGCCTGCAGCAGGTGGTCTGGCAGCAGTTGGGGCGGCAGCAGGTGTCCTGGCCACAGCCCTGGTCAGAGCAGACGGACCCACAACAGGAGTTGCACATGGTGTCGGAGGGTGGAGGTTCTGAGTGTTTGTCCAGGAGAGTGAAGCTCTTGGGTGTGAAGATCTTCTTGGTCCCATCCCCTTTTATATCCCTCCGAAGGCCTGTTGCTATGTCATTATTTCCTTGTTATTATTTACGCTGCTGGAAAACTTAATCATTTAATTACATAAGTGTAAGTAAGTACTCCAAAATAGAGAAAATAGCACATTCCCTCTTCCTGGTAGGTTCTTGTGTTTCCAATTGACACATTTGTCACAGTTCTTCCTCAGTGGGTATGACCTTTGCCTCTGGCCATTGCAGTGTCTTTTATGACACACTAGTCACATGCCCACTTGGACATTTTGCTTTTCTTGACTGTGACATTTTCTTCTATCTGTATGTTGGTCCCTGCAAAATGTGGAGGGCAGTTTTCACGAACGTATCTTTTGTTGCTAAAGAATGTTCTAGTCAGGTGAAATGCTGGAAAGGAAATAGAAGGAAAGACTCATTTGGAGGGAGGATGTTCCATCTGTAATGAGGAAGACGGTGGTGCTGTGCGGGCATCTTGGATGTTCAGGGAGATGGTGAGAACTCAGGGAAGTTCTAAATTCTGGTTCAGATCTTATTCCACGGTCTGAGGCAGAAGCATTTAGTAATGACTCACTGCTTGTCAGAAGTAAATGCACATTTTGCCGTTTGTTTTCCAGGATAGGCATTAAAGGCAGGAAGTTTTGATTTATCTCTTGATCATCAAAATTGTACAATGGGTTTTTCATTCACAAAAGCACCTGCCATATGCAAACAATAACTAAACCTTCAATAGTATGTATCCAAGTTGTATGTATCTGAGACATTCCCCTGCGTGCTCTGGGTATGGAACAGATACAATCTCATCTCTTTTCTGCAGGTACTTCAATAAGCACATGCAAAGGAAACAGAGTCTGGCAAAAACTAAAATCATTACAATTATTTTCATTAAACAACTAAAATCCAAACAACCCCAGTTTATGTGTATCACTTGCGAAGTGTTCACGAACTACCAGACATTGCACTAAATATTTTGTGTTTATTTTGTCTTGATCTTTACTACAAGTAGTATATGTTCTTATTACTCTTTTAGTGGAAGACTCAAAGGAACCACAAAAGGGGCTAAACAAACAAAAAGAGCACTCATTCAAGATTAAGCAGAAAGCAAGCTTAATATGTCTTAGTGTAGCCAAGAAAGAGGTGAAAAATAAAACTTAAAAGCCTTACTGACACTGTTTCATTCTCTTGGAATGTTTCTTCTTTCTTGGTCACTCCGCGAACTCCGACTCATTTGTCAAAACCCAATTAAAATGTTTCCTCCTTAATGATATCTTTCTTGATAAACTACTCCATTGATGTTTAATTATTCCATGCATTGTGCTCCTAATTTGACACATTCTACTGTATCATAGTCACTTACACCTGTCATTCCCCCAGGTGCAACACAAATACCTTGAAAGCATGGCCTGTGGCATTTATTTTTGTTACCATGGTGCTGAGCGCAAGGATGGTAGAGGAAGAGAGAGAGGACACTGGTCTTAAATGTTTGCTGATGACATAGAGGCAGATAATGGTCCTTTGAATATATATATATATATATATATATTTCGACTTCTGAAGACAAGAGGGGAAGACATTCCAAACAAAGGGCTCATAGTTCCATTTGAGGAAAAATCCATTTGCTTATTTGGTAAGTAACCTGTCATTTGGTATGTGGAAATTTATGGAAGCTAAGATTTGATTTATAGAATGAGACTTGTTTACAGATAAGTATGAATACTGTGCTTAGCATACATGTCTGTATTCACACAGGAAAAAGAGAGCAAGGAGGCAAACACCAAATGGTAACACTGGTTCGCCCTTACCTCTTGACTTTCCAATTTTACTCTTATTGCTAGAAATAATCGCTATGACCAGTTTGATATCAATCTGCTGAAAATATTTGCTGAGGATGTATTGTCTTAGCTTGAAATCTACCCAGTGCAGACCCTAAGACAAAGACTTGGGTGCAAGTAGTTTCCTTGGGGGAAGAGTCCCAGGAAGCACAAGTGAGGAGGCTGGAAAGTCATACAGGAAAGGAAGAAAACTCCAAACATTTTTGTGTTAATAGTAAAGTTACCACTGTAGGCAGCAAGGAGACCAACCATAGGGACATGCCTGAGACTGGAGGCATTTGACTTCCATGATTGTATGCCCAGAAAATCTGAAAGCATCAACTGAGTATTGGCATTAGCCATGAGGTCAGATAAAAGACAAACATACACAAGCCAATAGATTTTTGTCTACACTAGCGATAATCTTCTATAAAATACAGTGGAAAAAATGTACTTAAAATTCTCATCCATAAATATAAAAATACATAAATAAGTCTGCCTAGCAATATACTTGGCCTGTATGGAGGAAAGTGTTAATATTTCCTGAAGGACATAAAATAATTTTTGAATAAATGTCAGAACAAGAAATATACAACTAAAGCCAGGTTTGTGAATAAGTACAAACATATGATACTTCCTTAATAAGGTTGTATCTCTATTTGTAATAAGAGGTCTCAAATGGGATTGGCAATGGCTATGGTGGGAAACCTACTTTTGGTTACATTCTGTTGTATTGCTTAAATTTTTGAAAAAGTTTTTTTGTGTAAATGATATAAAAATCCTTAGAAACGGATAAGTGTGATTTATATAAAATTCACTCTTTTCTCTGTAGATTCCATTAACTGTTTTCTGCTGTTCTGTTTATATTTCTGTTTCTGTCATGCACTAAAAGGTTAAAAGCAAAAAGCACATCAGTCAATCATTTCAGCTCTCAAATTAGCTATTATGAATTTCTTTCTTTTTTTTTTTTTTGGTAGTCTACTAAGGAAACTTTCTTTTATTTTTATTTTTTTTCTTCTTTTAATTTTTTTTTTAATTGTGGGGTACAATTCAGGGCTAGGTATACAAATATTCACCATGCAGGTATCCTTATCAATGAAGTGTGCCGTCCACTGCCCCAGGCAGATATCGACTACTGTCAATCCCACCCCTCACCCCACAGTTTCTCACCACTTTCAATCCTTTTCTTGTAGTAATATGGTAGTTGTTCAAGGTCCACTTATGAGTGAGAACATGTGATTCTCAGTTCTTTGTTTCTGTGAGAGATCACTCAGTATTATAAACTCTAATTCCATCCAACTTGCTGCATTCATGATTTTGTTCTTCTTTATGGCTGCGTAGTATTTCATTGTGTATATGTACCACATTTTTTTAATCCAGTCCCCTTTTGATAGATAGCACTGGCACATGACCATGAGAAGAAAATACACAGACTTCGCTAAACCATCTATTAGCTTCTTTTATTGGTGAAAAAAAAACCTCTAACAGATGATATTTTAAAAGGAGATGAATCATGTTCAGTCTTTCCAAAACTTTTCACCTGTTATAATATTCATGGATACTCTATGATTTCAGTTCTTTTTTTCCTAAAGACTACAAAATGATTAGTTGATTTACCTAAGACCGGAAATATTTTTCTAGGGAAAACTAGATAGTGAGCAATGTCAGTTGGCTTCTGTTGGAAGGCTGACTTGTGTCTGCTGTCTGTCCTACAGGTTTGGGCAAAATAAAATTACCCAGGACCCAAATATAAACCCTTTTAATAAAAGAGAATAAAAATCACATTCAACTTTCAGTGCCAATAGAATAGAGGTTTATTTTGATACATGGGATTAACAAGGCTCAAAAAACTTTGCAAAATACTATAAGGGAGAGACTTAATTGGATTTCAATGTTGGAGGGGTTAAAATCTGTGTCCCAATGAGTGGTGGAAGAAATCTTCAAATTCTTCAACCATGATGAATGGATGTCCCCAGGGCAAAAGGGATAAACCTGGGGGATAGCTTGTCAATTTATTTGGAGAGTCTCAGTGAATTCTTTTGGAAGGCAGGGAGTTTGGATGGAAGTAAGAATGCAGGCACAGAATTCCTAAGGGAGAGTTTGCTTATGGGACTCAGAAAAATATTCTTGAGTGCTCCGCATTTCAAAAACAAGGATCTTCATCTGAGAGGAAGGAGGCAAGATAGAGAGGGGTATGTTCAAGGCAGAGATTTAGCAGCAGGGGGAGGCGCAGCACATGGGGCGGGGGCAG